AGTATAACTTACCGACATGATGTGCTCCGAGACTCTCTTATCCAGAAGTTCGTCCGGTTTATCCAGCAATATGAAAACTAAATCAAATCTCGAGAGAAGAGGGGCACTCATCTTCAAGTTCTCATTCACAGTTTTTGACCGGCTGCAAGTTTTATTTTTAGAATTAATAAATACCACCGGTATAAAAGAACAGTCACAATTTATAGTTAGATACCGTATTTTCCCTTTACCGTAATAGTTCCTATCATTACCATTCATTTGGACTGGACTAGAAGAACTGAATTATGGTTCCTTGGAAAAGGGGAACATAGAAATTTTCCTCTAGAAACAATACTCTATAAATAGAAAACGGGAAAATGTCGACTTCCTATTTTGAAGAAGGGCTATGAAAGAGACCCAATCATATAGATGTTTATTAGTCACGAAATCAAATAGCCAGTCACAAAAGCAAATGATTGAAACGAGTACATTTATGAACAACTAAATTTACTTGTAATGACCACCAACAGGGTTAGCTGCAGCTAAAACAGAAGTGCGTGCTGATAGACTTGCTACCAGTCCAGCTTTTGCAATAGATACACATTGTTGTTCCATGGCTTCCAGTAGGGCCTGCAATAATCTAACGTAAGAAAATATAGCCACGAAAAGTGAAGAGTTCAGGTGAAATGTAGGTATCAGTTCAAAAACCTGATGTTCTGCAGACATTTTATCAAACTCGTCTATACAGCATAATCCACCATCTGCAAGTACCATAGCCCCTGTGGAAAAAGTAAATTATCAATCAAGGGGAAACCAATATGTTTACTATCATGCGCTTGCAACGTAGAAGCATTTGAGCACCATTAAGTATCGGCTGAGATATAAGTTTTTAAGAATCGGATGAGTTTTCATAAAGAACGCACTCCAACCAGCGAAGTTCTATGTCATTATAGGCCATCGAAAATTTAGATCCAATGCCGTTCTACTGTAATCAACTTGTGAAATCTATACATGCAATCAACTTGTGAAATCTATACATGCAATAAGCCCTTGAAAGATTTGAGCTATGTTATAACTAGTATAGGAATAAGCATCTGCCAGTTCCCAAATGTAAGAACTTATTCAATACTGAGCAATCAAGAAATAAAAAAGGAACGCCTGAAATCTATGAAATACTTTCAAATTCATCAAAGCAGCCACTACAATTTGTTTCAAAGATAAAAACGAGAGGATCACGACAAGTATAATAAGTAATTCTTCAAATTTGAAAGATAGGAAATGTCGTGATAATTTTTGTAAAAGAAGACAGCTACCGGCCTCAAACGCATAGTCATTTGTCATGGAATCCTTCACAACAGCTACAGTTAGGCCCGCCTTGGTTGTTGCATTACCACAAACATAAATGCCACGTGGAGAAACAGCTGCAGCCGCTTGTAGTAACTGACTTTTGCCCAGTCCAGGATCACCTGAGAAATTGACAATGAAAAATCATCATTTATGTTTGTTCATTGATCACACCATTCTTTCCAAAACAACTGAGCATGGAAAGAGAACGAATATAGAAACATACCAACAACTATGACATGAATATCCCCTCTAACAGGAACTTTATTCTGATCTTTTGAATGCTTTCGTACACCACCAAATAGTGCTAGTGTTATTCCCGCTTTTCAGATATAAGTTGATTCACCAAATATAGTTAGTCAAAGAAATTGGTGGCAAGCAGCAATTCTGAATGTGTATAAAATTACCTTTAACAAGTTCATGTCCATAGATGGATGGACATATAGATTGAAGTATTTGACGGAAGACATCTGAACCATATTCCCCAGAGAATTTCACAATAAATTCCAAATCTCTTGGAGAGAATGAGAATAAATCAAGTAACTCGGTTGCTCTTGCATTAGAGTCAGAATCTTGAAACTCCTCAGGCGTAGATTGTGATTTAGAATTTTTTATTGAAACTGCCTCCAGATACAAATAGTAGAATCCTTGATTTTTGCTCTTCGATTTTCCTGAAAGTATATGAAAAGTTCGCACTTAGTAAATAATGATGGTTTAAAACCTACAACATAAACACCTGTTACATGTACCATAGAGTGCAATAAAACAAGTTAACAAATTTCATAATTCAGCAAAAAATTATACTATTTTTAGCCGTATAAATTCACATTATCAAAGGGCAGTAAGAGATATCGCACCACTTTCTGGTGTGTGATTTCAATCACTGAAAGTGATATGACGACAAATTATGGAATTGTAAAGAATTAATAGTTCCTGACTCCTTAAAGAGGAAAATTTGTTTCGAGAAAAACATCACCCAATACCCTGCAACTGTTGTACAAAAGGAAAAGTTGAAAACATACAAATCGAAAATTATTTTCTGCTTATACAACGAATCCCCAATGAATAAAATGTTGATTCGTGTACTTGCATTAGCAAGAGAAGTTTGTGACCTATGGACAAAAAAAGACACGACCTTCTATCAACTTGAACCATTCATGGGAAATATTGAAGTTAACTACACATAGCTTGGAAGAATCTTGTACCTCCTCCAATATCCATGTAATTATTAATTACTCTTATAATTCCAGTGACAGTGACAACATCTCCAGGTATGCATGCGTCAACAAGATCTTTACTGAGTTCACATTCTACAGTTCGAGGCACCCTGCCTTCTTCATGGTCATCAGATTTAGTAAGTTCTTGTAACCTTGAAAGATGTAAAAAGAACAGCTATTAATTCACAATAGTAGGAAAACTTATGCAGCCCAAGTGAAAAGAAAAAAAGGTCTAATTAAGAAAATGGAATTATTCCAAAGAGTAGGAAGCAAAACTAACAGTAAATTGAAGGTATATTTAGCGTTCAGAAGTTACCTTATTTTTTGAAAGTCGATTGCTTCAGCGGTAGATCGAACTGGATTGAACGTTTTGCTTTTACACCCATCCAACTCACAAAACGATGGGGGTGAAAACTTACCATCAGGAAAGATCCGTGTAATATTGCTTTTACACTTTGCACAATCGAAGCTCATTTGCACCACCAAAGGCTTGACAGTGCTAACTTTAACAACAGTACCACGCACTGATACAAGCTTGTCTGTGATGTCCCAAAATAGTATAGCCTACATCATTTCTTTAACAGTAAACTTCAGACTTGATAATAAATTTTTTGGTGAACTTACCAATATATGCTGCCTTTAAGTTCTTCAAAGCAAGCATAGATTCTGAATAGTTGTGCAACCGGATTAGAACTTTTGCGACATCTTCCAACTTGGGCGCCCAATTGGTCCTCATTACCTGCTTCAAAGACGAGTAAATCATCCTAACCTAGAAGTTATTTTATAGTAGACAAAAAGAGGATTTAATTCTTGTAATAATTAGTTTTTACCTGGTGAAGTGCCGCACTCATACATTTGAGAGCAACTTTAGGATTTTCCTCTAGCATTACATAAAATTCATGTTGATCGCAAATCTTCCGGAACTGTTGAAAGTCGATTGACAAAATAAAGATGCCGCGACCATCATCGATAGCCTGTTAAAATTTCGCATTATAAAAGCAAGATGGATATGTAACGAATCTAATCTACTTGTTACGATGTCTGCCATAACTTATCGGGTCCAGGTCTAAACTCAAACTTCGGTTCGTTTCAAGTATGGTTGCAGGAGATGCTGAGTGCCAGTAATTCCTAACTTGGAATTTCAAAAATCATTTCTTCCAACCTAGAAACGAGGAATTCCTAGACGCTATTATAATTTACGAGAAAAACTGATTGAGATATCCATGAAACAGATTTAAGAATCAGTAGGGGCAATCCATGTTGCAGAATCACCAACTACAAATCGCAGGCTAGAAGCGACCTAGCAGGAACAACCTACATCCAATTCTTCATACAAGATCAGACCTCGAACACGCAAAATCCCGCGCCACTGATTTCGTCAACTGAACTCACAGAAAATCAACAAACAATAAATGTGAACAAGAGATAGAATTACGATTACCTGAGAAGCGAGATGGCGGCCTGCCGGAGAAGAAAAGAAGAAAATGAGCTGAGAAATGAGCTTAAGCCATCCATTTTCGACAGTGAAGAGAGTTCGAGGGAAGTACAAATCCAAGGTATCTCCAGCTACATCGAAGTCCGAAAACGCCTGCTCCATGCCTATCTTATCTCCGTATGATCGCCTGACATTTTCATCTCAACAAAGTGTTCATCCAATTTTGGCGGGAAAGATAAACGACAGGAACGCGGCAGCGGTTTAGTTTAGAAGGTGGACCGAGCCGGCCCACCAGTCCAACCATGGGCTTATTAAGAGATCGAGCCGAAATGAGGCCCAGTTTCATGGACCACACATTAGGCCCATGATGGTTTTGTCAATAGGCTGGACCGGGCCGCACCACGTGTTAGGCCATATTGGAACTTAGTTGTGTCCCATGCCATGTTGATCCATGTTAAAAGCAAAAGGCCAAATTTCACAGGTTAGACGACTCCATTCCATTTATTATTTACCACGTCAGCAGTGTATGGATATATCTTTTTTATTTATTGTATAAATAAGATGAAGTGTGGTACTCCTGTAGTACTAGAAATTTTTTCGAATTTCACGGACTACGAGTTAGTTCCCAGTTCCTTTATGGTTCTATGTGGATCATGCTGGTCCATTTTAGGCCCAGTTTTACGTGGCACGTGTCAGGCCCATTTTTGGTTCATATTAAAATTGGCCCACGTTAGGCCATGTTGGTAAAGCAAAAGATACAGTTTCACGGGCCACATGTTGGGCCCATGTTTGTTTATCGATCTACCTGGCCCAGTAGGTCCTGTCAGGCCCAACGAAAGGCCCAGTTTTACGTGGCCGTGTGTTAGGCCCAGCCGGATTATCGTTCTACCTTGAACCAGGCCGGATTCGAGGTTTGGCATCTGAATTCGCACTCCATATTCATGGAGACGGCTGCTTCATTTCACGCTTTGGTCCGGTATCAGTGAGGAAGACGAAGACGACCCCTGAACCACGAAAATCAAAGTGCTATGCTAGAAGGCAGAAAAAGGGAAGAAATCTAGGTACCATTTCTTTGTTTGGTCTCGGCTGTCTGATTTCAATTCAACAAAGTTCTGTCATTTTTAGGGTTTAGAATTTTTTGTTTTTGGGTCTGTTTTGATGTCGGGGAACGGCGAACAAATCGACCTCAACTCTGACGTTGATCTCGGAGACCGAGAAATTGAAGCCGATGGGATTAGTCTTTCACATCCCGTTACCGACTCACTAATCGAGCAAAGAAATGTTGAGAGTTGTTCGAGGGAGCTTGGAAAGGACGAGGCCATTGATGTTCAAGAGAAAAACAGCTCTGGAGAAGGGCTGTGTAGGTCGGACGAGGATGAAGCTGATGTAAATGTGGGCTATGAAGCAGCAGATGGTGAATTTTTGGAGGGAAGATCTCCAGATAATGCTAAGGGAGTGGAAGTGGACGCTGGTGCGAGATCGGGTGAAGAGTCGTCTATAGCAATAAATGCTTTGTCAGAGGCGGAAATGGAATGTAGCGAGAGGAGACATATTTCAGAAAAAGTTGAAGATTTGTGCGGAGATGAGATCATTGCTGACGAAAAAGAGGTGGTGAATGCTGCTGGGACGTTAAAAACTTCACCAAGCGACGCTTTATTTTGTTGTGAAGCTAAAGGAGAGGCCGATTCTACAAGTGAGCATCATTCAATAATTTCCGTTGGTACTGAGCTTAATGTAGAGAGCCAGGAAGAGGGTGTTTTCAGGATCCAAGATGAGGAGGAGAAAGTTGCACAAAATGAAGAACTGGCTTTTGGTTCTGTTGATGTGAAATGCGATCAGATCGTGAAGGAGGACTGCGAATCTCACAGGTTACTTGACCATGGGGGTTGTGTTGATGTACTTATAAACATAAATCCTGAGGATCCATTTCTCCATATGGATATTGATGATTCAGGTTCTCGTCATGAGAATTTGGGATCCGATGATAGAATACAATTTACAGACAATCTCTCTCAAAAAGTCGAAATTTTGACGGAGAGCAAAGAATTATCACCTGAATTTGCTACAGATATTAGAACTACGCCATTACCAGACTGCTCAGAAAATCAGAGTGGAAAAGTTGGTGGTGGACAGACCATTGAAGATCCAGCCACTAGTTGTCATATTCTGAAGAAAGAGGCTTTAACAGATATAGATGAGGCAAATTTGTTTGATGTTTTTGTTGAAGTTGACCCACATGTTCTTATGGATGAAGAAGATGTATCTGATGACGTGAGTGCTGATTCAGCTGACTCAGTTGTGGATTTTAATGTGTATGATCTAGTATGGAGCAAAGTACCCAGCCATCCCTGGTGGCCCGGCCAGATATGTGATCCATCAGCTTCATCAAAAAAAGCCATGAAATATTTCAAATCAGGCAGATATCTTATAGCATTTTTTGGGGATCACACATTTGCATGGAAAGAAGCGTTAATGATAAAACCATTTTGGGAATATTTTCTGGAGTTACAGAAGCAGAGCAATTTGGAAAGCTTTCATCAGGCAATTGATTGTGCTCTGGAAGAGTTCTCCAGACGAGTTGAGTTCAGCCTTGCCTGCTCGTGTCTATCAGAAGAATTATATTCCGAACTCCGAACTCAAACACTTACTAATGCAGGAATCCGCAAGAAGTTCAGTAAAAGAGTTGGCGGGGACAGCTCTCTTACTGCGTCATCTTTTGATCCAATGAAGCTTGTTAACATTGTTAAAGAAGCAGCCTTATCACCTCATGGTGTGATCGACAAGTTAGAACTGGTTTGTGCACAGGCCCAGTTGTTGGCATTCAATAGGTGGAAGGGCTATTATGAACTGCCCAAGTTTGATAAATCCAATGTAGATTTCAACGATACAGAGCACGTTTTGGTTGGTGAAAATGATTATCGAAGTGAATTGATGGAAGATATAGCTATGGACACAAAGCATGATGAAGCTGCTGATGATGGGAAAGGAAATTTGAAAACTCAAGACAGCTCCAGTGGCAAGTGGAAGCACTATGGAGCTGCTGAAGATGGGAAAGGAAGTTTGTCGGGTTCGACGTCTAAGAAGCCCCACGGGATTTTAAACAAAAAACGTAGATCTGAAGATAATACTGGCAATGAATTGAATTTTCATGGTTCTTCCCACGACCCTGCCATTAACAATCCAATGGAGTCTGCTTATGAGTCTGGGAAGACTAAACAAACTTTCAGAATTGGAGATCGCATTCAAAAGGTTGCTTACAAACTGAACGAGTCTAGTCCGATATTGAAGCATGATGATGAAAGATCTCAAGAAACTGTAGCCAAGACGAAACGGAATAGAAAGCCGCCGCCCAATAAGGTACCAAATAGACCACTCTTGTGTACAGACCATCCTCTTAATGAGGTTTTATCACAGCTTTGTTTGGCTGCGATAAATCCCATGAAAGGATTTGGCTTCTTGAATATTATTGTTAATTTTTTCTCAGAATTTAGAAACTTTGTTTGCATGGACCTAACACATCCAGAGGCGCAGGAGACTTCGGAACTAGATTCCTGTGGTAAGGCCGGTAATAAATTGACGAAGACTAGGAAAAGAAGAAAGGTTTCGGCCGCCCCAACGGAAGCATCTGACTCTGAATTCATTAAAGACTCTTATTGGACTGATAGGTTAATTCAGGGCATTGCTGAAGATGAAGCATCTTTTGATAATCAAAATGAGACTGTAGAATGCCAAATTCAGATTCCAAGTGAAAGTGTAGTTCTTGTTGCTGTAGAGCATGATGCTGGGCTATTATGCCCTGGTGTGAATTCTACTAATCAAGAGCCTCCTGAACATGTTGAACTGGAATCAGAGAATTGTTTGGAGGATCCCTATCCCACAGCTCTGATTTTAACCTTTACAGACTTCGAATCCGTGCCTTCAGAAACAAATTTGAACAATATATGTAGAAAATATGGGCCTCTGTACGAGTCAAAAACCGAAGTATTGAAGAAAAGTAAACGCGCCAAGGTAGTTTTCAAACGTACTTCCGATGCCGAAACAGCTTTCAGCTGCACTGGGAAGTACAGCATTTTCGGACCCTCACTCGTTAGTTATCACCTCAAGTACTTGCCTCCGCCCAAGGTTTCTTCGCATTCGACAAAGAGGCGGCGCAGAAAAGAAGTGTAATCTTGAGAAGAAAACACTAATTGATGCCGAAAGATTCAGGTTTAGAAGTGCAGCTGCCCCCAACTCAAGGAAAAATGGTCTGTGCCACTTTAATTTGAGTGATATGTGTTTTCTCTTAATATTGTGATAGTTTGTTTAACTGGGTAGAATTAACTTGCAAATAAGTAGGACATGGCTTATACTTATTTTTGTAGTGTTAGTGGAGATAGTTGGAATTAGATTTTGTACATGGTAGTTTTTTCTGTTAGAAAGAGCATATTGGAGTGGGTGAAATTATGCCCGAAATTACTGCCTTTGCGGATTTTATCGGGCGTTAAATGTTGAACTACTGTACCGAATCTTGGATTGTTGGGCGTTAAATGTATTTTCTTGACCAAACAATTATTATTGTTTTTTTTCTTTTTTGGAATTCACAATGCATGTGAGGTAGAAATTTGATCTTTTTATTTTTTGGTCGAGCTTATAATGCAAGTTGAGCTATGGTTTAACTTTTTGTTCACCAGATTTCAAGTATGGTAATCAAAATATTTCCTCAAATAGATAAAAGGTAGATAAAGGTTTCACGGGTGGGTGAAGCGAAGGACAAAACGAGCAGAATCAATGTATGTGTTCAAGTTTTTGGGTACCATTCTTGTGGTCTGCACCGAAATAGTGCTTTACTAGTGAGTTCACCTTGATGCAATCATCTATCATTATAATTGGAATTACCTAATATTATAACCAACATTGACGAGAAGAGCCAAAGCTATGTGCCCTCCACCACCCAGTGGTCAGGCAGTTAGATGAAGGGGGAAATTTGATTTTTTTACCATCAAAGATGTTAATTTCTATCTTATATTTTCTATTTCATCAACTTGAAAACAGTCGGAAGTTTTTAGTAAATTTAATACAACTTGTCAAGTTTATTGAGAAGACTAATTTTTTTCCTCTTTAATTAAAAAGAATCAAATATACAGTGACTTGGGTCAAATAAATTTTCCTGAAATTCTTAAAACTCACTTTCGTCGATTGCTGTACCGAAAAGCTTTAATTTATATTGTTCTAACGCTTATAAACCTTCCATGATCTATAAGGTTAAAACATAATCTGATCTCTTAACTACTACAATAAAACGGTTACCTTCAATTACCCCTTTCTGTGAAAACGAGAAAAGTTAGGTTCAGCAACATGGCCAAAAAAAAAAGGAACCATCTATACTAGCTAATCATGAACCCAAAAAAGAAGAAAAAAAGAACATGCCAACCACTTTGGCACGAATTTAACAGTCTTGAAATACCTCTTTGATCTCTCAAAAGTCTTCTGTTCCAAAAAGCTCATGAGCTTCATGAACATGACGATACCAAACATTTGGTTAGCAATGCATCCCTATAAAATTGGGTTCAGATCCTAAGCTGCAGCACAACAGACTTTCATGTTCCTCCAGAAATTCAAGATTTGGGACATCATCGTACAACACTGGACCAGACCAGACACCTGAACAAGCCACCACATTAGAGTTTTCAGAATGGTCTGGTGAGATGGCAAGATGGGTCATTCGTGATGCTCGTCTGTGGCCGCAACCGAGACAGGAATCCTCAATTAGAGATGGTAGATCTGCTGTCAATAGTGATTGGCTATGTTAGATGAGCAGTGAGAAGAAACAGTGGAACTTTTGACAAGAAAGTGGGAGGTTTCCTTTGCACATTATCAGATATCCTTATGAACGGTCATGAGCTATTTTCGAGAATTGGAACCCAGCCAAATTTGTGATTCCAACTTACCTTCTGCAAGCATAAAGTTGGATTCGCATAATAATGAATTCTTTCCACTTGGTATTACATTGAACCCTCTTGAACAAATTCTCTCACCACATCCAACAGTTACTTCTCGTAGATGGAAGCATACCATCAACATTAGATCTGAACGTTTGGTGACCTATTAGGTTCTACATCAGTGCCAGCCGTTGTCGTTTCATTTACGTCACAGCCAACTTCAGTTTTCCTCAAAGCACCAGAATTCCTATTACTTTCTGCACATACATCTGAATCATGCAAATCGGTATTTGATCCTTCACGATCAGCCTCCTTGATTTTTCGGTCTCCATTCGTTTTGGACATCTTAGTTGCACTAGGTTTATTGGACTTAGAATTCGTACTAGGTGGGATATTAGCACGGGTAGTGTTCTTGGGCAACAGTCTGACAGGTTGAAGCTTTGAAGGCTTTGTCTTATTTTGGCCTCCACTTGTGCTGACATTTCCAGCTCCACTCTTAGTCACGCCACCAGGTACAGCCAGATTAGATTTCATGCTAGATGTTTTCCCCTGTGAAATACAGTCACAAAGACAGAGTTCTTTAAATGTTTCAATCCTAAAATTTTGAAAAATATAAACATTAAAAACACTGGATCATATAATGAAAACACAAATCTTACCCCATCAAAGAATCCGATTTTAGGTGATGGCAATCGAAGGCCTGAAGGCTTCATTGAAGCAGGAGGAAGTACAGAAGATTGTGAAGAAGTTTTCTTTACTGATTGAGACAGCAAACCAGTGGTTTGAGTATGGGGTCCAACAGAATGGTTTCTTCCCTCATGAGATGTATCACTGTCTATAGAGATCCTTTTGCTCGAAATTGAGTGAAGGCTGGCTCTTGAGCTATTAGATCGTTGTTCAAGAGTGGAATTTGATGATGACTCAGTCGACCACTCACTAATGGAGCTAGCAGGTGATATTCCTGAAGAATGCTTAGTTTGGGATATCAAGTAAGAAGCAACACAAGAATTCCCAGTTGGAGTCTCGTTGACCCTTGATGCGACTCGCGATGGTGTTTTTTTAATACAACCAGCGGATGGTGAAGCCTTACAATCTGTTTTTTTCTTCACATCTTTGGAGGAAGATTTAACAACCTTGTCAGATGAACTAACAGAACCTTCCGAGGAAGTCCTTTGCTCTCTCTTAGCTGCAGTTGAAATTCGGGTAAGCTTCTGTGTAGTATTTTTAAGAGCAACTGAATCACGCCTATCTGCAATTCACGAGAAAAAGTTTAGAACAGGTAGGATATATGCATCCCACTTCAAAGAATAAATTTAGCTAAATTAAAGTTATCATCACCTGCAGGTCCTGCACCACTTGAAGTACTATTATTTACAATGGCAGGACGACTGAGGCCAAGGGAAGGCCTCTTTGTCAACGCTGAGTTCGGTGGAAGCTTGCTCACTGCATTCAATTGCTTTAAGAAAAATTCTTATTTTCAGAAGCAGCCAAAAATGTTGGACAAATAATTAGAAAATGGTCGACAAAGAAATGAGATGGAACTTGACGGGCATATGTTAAATCCATAGCCAGAGATTCTAATGCTATACACTTAGCTTCCTTGGGCATTATTCACTACGAGCTAAACAACATAATCAACTTTAACACTAATTTCATACTAATGGAATAGAATGTAATCCAGTCAAAATAGTTAAATATAATATTGCTGGTGTTTCAGTTGATGCAGCTGCCCATGGTCTGGGTGTTAATAGCTAGCCACCTAAGTACAGAAATGAACTCAAGACACAAATAGAACACCTGAACACGACACAACACGACACAGACATGATGACACATCTTTTTCTAAAAATCTAGAACACATTTATAGCATACAATCCTTTTAAGTGTATAATATTTTTACACAAAGAAGGAATTTCAAAGTCAATAAGCTTTTGCACTTTTATGTTTATGTTTAAAAAAAATGATTTTGATGTATTTTACTCTCAAAATCTATTATTTTGTCCGATATTACTATTTATGTCTATTTCTTATGCTAAACAAGTGTTTGATGCGTGCAAGCGTTGAATCTATATTATGCAACTATTGTGTGATCCATATCCATTAAGCTAAGCTAACAAATATTCAATAAGTATCATAGTGTTGGAGTGTCCAATCGGACAGATTACACAAACTGAAGTGTTTGTGCTTCTTAGACAGCCACAAAAGCTAGGAGATATCATATTTTAATTCAATAAAATCAACTATTAGACATTTAGGCTTATAATTCACCTGTCTACTGCGTGGTTGAGAGGAATTTTCCTTTATAGTTCTCCCAGGTCCTTGCAACCCATCAGTTTGCTTACTCGATGTAGATCTGTCCTTTATCTGAAATGTTACAAAGCAACTTTATGAGTTCTAATATATGAAAAAGGTTTAGACATAATTTTGGTCTTTGCACTTCTACTCTTATTTTGTTTTTGATCTATATACTTTTCAAATGTTCTATTTTGATCTCTAAACTTCATTTAAAAATCTTTTTTTGAGCTCTCTTAACATTACATTTTTCAATGCTTGAATAGAAATTTCACATGACAGTGTTTTATCCACCACGTGAGAACAAGTTAAAATTTCAGTTAAATGCTAGAAACAAAATTAATGATAAGTACCATAAGAAACTTTTATGAAAGTTCAAGTATCAAAATAAAACATTTGAAAGTAGGAATGAAGCAAAATAGCTATGAAGCAAAGTAGCTGTAAACGTTCTACGGACCAAAAAGGAGATTCTTTGACTTGCCTTGGTTTGTGAAGTAAGATCAAGCCTTCCTGCAGCTGAAAATAATGTGTACTGTTAGATTCAATTCTGATGAAATGTAAAATATAAAATATAATATGACAGATGCATAAATCTTGCTAAACCCACAACGAAATGTCTCCAGCAGAACTAATAAATGATTACTCCAAACTTGAAGACGGACAGACTCGCATTGAGCAAAAAGAAAAGAAAAGGTCCCAACGGAGGAAAAAAGCACAAAAGGTGAATTGACATGGGAGAGAATAAAAGGTCGCAAAATGATCGGGGAAAGTATAAAGAAGAAATTTTTTTTATGTCTGTTCCACATGAATCTTTCCATCTGATAAATAGGTGGTGGCAATTTGGCATGCAAGTTGCTGCATGCTTTGAAAGTAAAAGGTGATTCTTAGAGAAGCAATCATACCAAAACTGCAGCACCGTTCCCGTTATGAAGCTGAGTTATTGAGAACGGGCCTCTAATTTAATCTAAATAACGTAAAAACTACCACTATGTAGAAAGTTGAAGTTGCTCACATGGAGGTTTGCGGGTTTCCTGTCGCCCGGATTCAGCTTTACTCCTTGAGTTAGCCTTCCCAATACTTCTACTAGACTTCTGAATTGAAGCCCTTACATCTTCGAATAAATTGCCCTCAATGCTTTCCAATGGCATAATTTCACTTTCCAACGTAGAAATTGAATCTGAAGATTTCTGAACGTCTTCTAAAATTATAGGTAATACATGTTTTTCATTCTTACCGACTTGTCCAATCATGCTAGTTAACTCCTCAGGATCCAAAAACCCTGAAATACAAAAAGTTGGAATTGTAAGAGGTAAATTTGGGACAGAGCTTAAGTAACTTATTCACATTTCAACTGCAAATAAAAAAATACCTGCACTGGTAAAGAAAGCGCTGTCCCAGGCTAAACTCTTACGCAAGTTATATTTCCCATTTTTTCTGGTCCTTTCCGGGTCCAAAGATGGGAGTAATTGAGGTTCATCCTCTTTCTGTTCCAAGGAATCTGTATTCCCCTCTATTCTGCTAGAATCCACGGTCTCTAATTGTCTAAGGTTGTTCTGTTCCTCATCCTCCTTTGTAATGACTACACATTATAACATGAATACAATCATTAAAACTTCAAGTCCCCCAAATTTTAAGTAAATCTTCTTGTTCTAAAGACCCAGAAACGCCATGCAAAACCAGCCAAAACATAACTTCATATACCACAGATGGACAACGCGTAGCGATGAATACTGGATTAGACATCAACATCAGAGTGAGTTGCAAAAAGAACATCAAAAGAACCATAGAACAGAAATCAAACTCAAGAAGCTCGATACACAAAACAAATCGTAAAAATTCTCAGTAAAATTAAGATTCGAAACACAATCAAGAGAAGGAGACTGGAATGAGTAGGCCGGAACAGACCTAAAGAATTGACGTCGTGGAGGTCGCAGGAAGGAGACGAGAGGAGGAAATCGTCCTCTGAAGCGAAATCGATGAGGCTGAGACGGCTGAAACGGCGATCGTTGTCAGTCTCTACGGTGTCCATGGAGACCGATCTGGAAGAATCGCGGAGGAGATTGTGATCTGTCGGGATCGGAACGATCGATTTCAAAAATCGAAGGCGGAGAGAGAGGAACGG